CTGCCAGGATACCTGATAACGGTCACTGATTGCATTATCTGGGCAGCCTGGCCATTCTTTTGTGATGCTTAATACTTAAGTTCCTGAATCCATGTCACAGGCTCACCCTTTTCATACACAAATACGCCCTTAAGGCAGGATGTGCAAGCAAAATAACAATGGGAAGGCTTTCCCCATTTGCCTCCGTTCCTGCAGAGGCATATTTGAGGTTATTGGGAGAGTCAAAATGGCTCCAGGATTGCTCTCCCATACTATTTCAGGCACATGATTCATATATAGTGGTACCTCAGGTTACAGACACTTCGGGTTACGCGTTTTCAGGTTACAGATGTGCCAAAATCCAGAAGTACCGGTATGGGTTACTTCCAGGTTTCGGCACTCATGCATGCGCAGAAACACTAAATCGCACTTTGCGCATGTGCAGAAGCCCAAATTGCATCACGCGTGTGCAGGCTTGGCGCTGCGGGTTGCAAACGTGCCTCCCGCATGGATCACATTTGCAACCCAAGGTTCCACTGTATTTAGATATGTGTGCATTTATGAATATTGATTTTATATTTGAGGCCTTAAAATTCTTATAACACCTGGATAGAGAAATGTGTGTGTGTGTGTGTAGGAACTAGCCTACTGCACTGAAGTAACTTTCACAATCATTGCTCCACCTGCTTTTGCCTCTGGTTTCATGCGCCATTGCCATGTGGCCCCTGGAAGGTTCACTAGGAAGGGGTCAAATAGGTTCCCTACCGCTGTCGTAAAGAAATAAATACCTCTAAGTGAGCGGGTCTCCTTTTTATTTTGGGTGAGAGAGTCTGATCTGACCAGCCCTGCTTTTGAGAAGCTGGACAGTGTGTTCGGTTGGGCAGGGACGCTCACAAACAGCAACAGAAGAAGCCACACGTCACCTGTACAGAGAGATAACTAAGCCTCTGCCATCCTCTATGTGTCCTGCAGGGATTCATTAGCGAACACGCTTCCAACTAATGAATTTGTCCACTCGGATTCTTAAGGGACTTTGCGCAAATCAACTGCTAACTGGCTCCAGACCCGTGGCACTGGGAGATAACTGGATTTGTCGCCTTCGCTCAGGCCAAATTGAAAGTTGGGGGTTTCTTGAAAAGGACTCACTGGCTCTATCGCGACAAGACCTGTGGCATTAGCTGGTACACAAGGGAACTCTCTCGGGCTAATTGCTGCTCTTGTCAGGCAGCAGCTGCGCTTGGTTTTGAGAGTGCCACACCGCGTGGCCCCTCCAGAGACGAGGCTGCCTCTCTCCTGCTCTCCTTCTTCGCTTCAAATCCTCCACCGCTCTCCGTCTCCCCCCTTTCGTTTCAATCTTAAAGGTCTCAGCAGGAGACTGTTGCCTGTAGATAACCAGTCGTTTTTCATTTTTTTAAAAAAGGAAAAGGAAAAAAACACCAGGAAAATTACTTCGCTGTATTTCCGACAAGCAAAGTTGCTTCTTGGGCCAAAGAAAAATGGCTCCAGATTCTTTCAGTTGTGGAGAGCTCCAGATTTGATCAAAGAAGCAAAGGGAGAGAGCGGCGCTCAGGGCTTTTTTCAGCCGGGGCTCGCCAGAACTCAGTTCCGGCACCTCTCAGGTGGGCGCCTGTTATGTACTGAGTTGAATAGGATCCATAATGCAGCAGTCTGATTGGTCCTAGAACAATGCAGCAATATGATTGGTCTGCAGGAGCCATCCAATCCAGCTCCAGATGGAAGTGAATCCACAACCTGATTGGCCTACAGGAGAATTGCGGAATTAGCCAATCACGTGCAGCCCATTGTGTAAATAATGTATATAAAGCAGATACTTTGAGGGGACTTTCATTCCTCCTCACACTATGAGCTGAATAAAGAGCATGAAATCCACTCTCGACACTAAGTATATTTCAGCGCCATTGCCATTCTAAGAGAACAATAGAGGAGTTCATGGTGTGATCCGGCACCTCTTTTTCCAGAAAAATAGTCCTTAACCCTTTGGGGAAGAGGGACATCCATCTATCAGGGATGCCAGTTTGCAGATTTCCTGCGCTGAACAGGGTTGAGCTAGATGGCCTTCAGAGTTTCTTCCTGGCTCCATGGTTCCATAACAATGGCTACAGGTCCTTGAGTTCCTGTCTTTGTCTTTAAATCACAGTAGGGTGTGGCATGGAATTTTAATTGGGGCTGCAGCCTTTAATTAATTCACCGGCTTGATTAATTAAAAACCCTTTAAAGCAAATGAAAAAGCACTCTAATTCATCAGATGACATTTTTTTTCCCCAAAACAAATCTTGTAAGTGTTTACAAAAGTTGCAGGAAGCAGGGCTCCATTTTGAAAGAGGCATCTGCCATTCACTGTCACATGGGGGAATGAGGGGTGTGGGGGGGTGGGGTGTGTGTCTTCACATGCACAATCTTAAAGACACACAAAACATGTTTTCTCTCTTTTTCCTCTTCAAAACTGCACACGCATTTATGCAGATTTCTTCACTCACTTGAAAGCTCATCAAATTAATCAACTAAGCTTTCTTCAAACAAGCAGCAAACCTAATTTTAGCACTTTCGTTTTTAGGGTTCTTTCTTTCTTTCTTTTAGTTATTTAAACAGTTTTTGCCCCACTGCTTGGCCAGAAAACCTTCCCAGAGCGGTTTGCAAAGATCAGTAGTAAGACAGTCTCTGCCCTCATTAAAAAAAAAAAAGTCACAGCATGAAAGGAAAATGGATTGGGAGAGAGAGGAAGAAATAGGTAAAACTCATGTACCAGTTTTCAGGTACCACATCTTCATTACAAGCTCTTCCAATAACCGGTTGGGATCAGAAACCTTTCAAAGAGAGGAGGAGCCAAAAGTGGCTGGTGTCTCAGCAGAGTTGATGGGGTGGCCCTGCTTCCCTTTTTCTGCACCCTGATGGAACGGCTGGCACCAGATGACAGCTGATGATCCTGGCATCTCAGCTGAGCTGCGGGTGTCTTTTCTGCCTTTTCTTCCTCCCTCTGCTGCCGCCCAGTGGAATGACCACTGCAAGGTTGTGTATTGGTGGGCAAAGTAAAATAAGTAAACAAATGTGTCATGGTCCCACTTATTCTCAGCAGCCAGAAGCCTCATAGCCAGACGCTGGAGAGACCTGTCAGGAGTGAACATGGACCAATGGTATCAAATACAGTGGTACCTCAGGTTCAGTACTTAATTTGTTCTGGGGGTCTGTTCTTAACCTGAAACTGTTCTTAACCTGAAGCACCACTTTAGCTAATGGGGCCTCCCGCTGCTACCCCGCCGCCAAAGCACGATTTCTGTTCTCATCCTGAAGCAAAGTTCTTAACCTGAGGTACTATTTCTGGGTTAGCGGAGTCTGTAACCTGAAGCATATGTAACCCGAGGTACCACTGTACCATTTGATGGAAAGCAGCCTTATTAGAAAAACTAACCAATAAACTGAAACTGACATGGGGACAAATAGAAGAAGACGCCTACACCCTGGTATGGTTCCCCTTTATCACATACACAGCCCAACAAGACAACGACAAGAATCCGCCAACAGCATACGAATCAATCTGGCTATCTTGATCCAAACACACACACACACACACACACACACCCCACTCACACACAAAAACAAATCTCACTACAGCCAACCAATGACAACCAACCACACCCTAGACCACCCTCAACCTCTCTCACCACCAAGGAAATACAACAAGTGAATAGTAAGAGTACACAAAACCCCACACATACAATAAGTAGAAGAATAGAAGTATTGCCACCCGAACCCACCCCACTCACCATTCCTTCCTCCCCCTCTTCCCCCTATTTTCTTCTTAACCTAACACTGTATGTCTGGATAGAAATAGGGGAAGCCACCCTAACATACAAGCTCGAATGAACAGACTGTGTACATGGATAAAGATATGAAGAAGGAAGGCCTGACCGGGGGGGGGCTGGAGTGGGGAGGGGGGGGAAGGGGGGGAAGTAAACCAGATGGTATTTTGAATTGATTTAGTTATGTAAGCCTTTTTTCTGAAACCATATATATTAATGTTATGTAGTTATGCATTGTAGTATGAATGAATTTTGTTTTGTATCCTTTGTTTTATAGAATACATATAATAATGTTGTGTTACTAAGCAAATTTAATAAAACAGTGAAAGGGGAAGGAAAAAAAACCTAACACTGTATGTAACACTAATGTCTCACAACAAATGAAACTGATCTGTAGAAAATGCAACTTGGAGGGGGGGAGAGAGAGAATGCACATTATTTTTGTAAACGATGAAATCTTTAATAAATAGAGTGGTACTTTGGGTTAAGAACTTAATTCGTTCCGGAGGTCCGTTCTTAACCTGAAACTGTTCTTAACCTGAGGTACCACTTTAGCTAATGGGGCCTCCTGCTGCCGCGTGATTTCTGTTCTCATCCTGAAGCAAAGTTCTTAACCCGAGGTCCTATTTCTGGGTTAGCGGAGTCTGTAACCTGAAGCGTCTGTAACCCGAGGTACCACTGTACATATATATATAAAACAAATGTGTCATGGTCATCCAAAAAAGGTGGCTGTATCCAGGGTTGCTTCCATTGAAAATAACAGACAAGACTAACTTGGGTCCATTAATTTCAGTAGGTCTACCCTGAGTACCCTGAGTCTAGGACTTTCTGATCAAAAGGTCGGCGGTTCAGATCCCCGCAACGGGGTGAGCTCCCGTTGCTCAGTCCCTGCTCCTGCCAACCTAGCAGTTCGAAAGCACGTCAAAGTGCAAGTAGATAAATAGGTACCTCTCCGGTGGGAAGGTAAACGGCGTTTCCGTGCACTGCTCTAGTTCGTCAGAAGCGGCTTAGTCATGCTGGCCACATGACCCGGAAGCTGTACGCCGGCTCCCTCGGCCAATAAAGCGAGATGAGCTCCGCAACCCCAGAGTCGGCCACGACTGGACCTAATGGCCAGGGGTCCCCTTACCTTTACCTTACCCTGAGTATAATTTAGTTTGGGGCTGTTCTTTTCTGATCATGGGCTGCCTTTTTCCATCCCAGAGTTCGCACGTTCCCTAAGGAATCTCACCTGGGCCACGACACAGTCCGCGCCCTCATGTACTACGCCCTGAAGGTTTGGAGCGACATCACGCCGCTGAATTTCCACGAAGTGGCTGGGCAACAATGCCGACATCCAGATCGACTTCTCCAAAACGGACCACAACGACGGGTACCCCTTCGACGGTCCTGGCGGCACAGTCGCCCACGCTTTCTTCCCGGGAGAACACCACACCGCTGGGGACACTCACTTTGATGACGATGAATATTGGACTTTCCGATCATCAGGTACGTCAGGGTAAGAGAGCTGCGGAAATGTGTGGGAGTGCCCTGTTTGCCTCCATGAGCATCGAGGGAAGAAGGGGGAGGCCAAAGGAGGACGAACCTCTATAGAAAGGGAAAGGCTTCCTTTATACATGTATAAAATGTATAAAGTAAGTAACAAATGTTGGAAATGTAAAGAAAAAGAAGGAACTTTTTATCACATGTGGTGGGAACGTAAGAAAGTGAAAAGCTTCTGGGAAATGATATATAATGAGATGAAAAAGATGTTGAAATATACATTTATTTTTTTAAAAAACAGAAGCATTTTTACTTGGCATTGTAGGAGAGGATATTAACAGACAGGACAGTAAATTGTTTTTATATGCAACAACAGCAGCAAGAATATTATTGGCACAAAAATGGAAACAAGAAGAATTACTGATGAAAGAAGAGTGGCAAATGAAGTTAATGGACCATGCAGAACTAGATAAGATGGCAGGAAGGATTCGAAACCTGCGGGACCAGAGATTCTTAGAGGACTGGAGTAAATATTTGAATTATTTGAAAAGCAATTGTAATAAACAGATTACACTAGTAGGATTGCAAGAAGTTTTGTAAGGAGGATTTTGCGAAATATTGCAATAAAGAATATGAAAATAGCTATTAGTTAAGGACAATTAAAAGTAATAGAGAAATTAAGAAATGTAGATTAAGTGACAAAGACTGAAAAATCTTCAGATGTGGTTGATGGAAGTCTAAAACATAGTATAAGATAAGAAAATGTGTTAGATGACTGTTGGAAATGATTTGTGTATATATATATATTTATACACACACACACACACACACACACATATATATATGTATATATGAAAGAGAAAGGGTTCCAGTGGGTCAACTGCTGCAGCAGCAGGAGCAGGTCCAGAGTTGCTGAAGCAGCAGTGGAGCTGTCCAGCCAAAGAATCAGGCTGGAGATGTTGCACTAGCAGTGTGCTGTTAATTGGCAGCTTGCTGTTGACAATGAGATTGGGTTCTTTGCAAGCCAAGGCCTGTTGGCAAGGAGAGAGAGAGAATAAAATGAGTGGCAGATACTGTAGATGGTGGAAGGACCCCGAGTGAGAAACAGGGAAGTCGGAGGCAGCTTCTCCAGGTAAGAGAGAGGAAAAGAAAGCTCCCGGGTGAGATGTGGGAAAGGGCGTTCTCGGTAGTCGCAGATATCAAAGAAATAAACTACGATCTGACTTTTAGAAGACATCTGAAGGCAGCCCTGTTTAGGGAAGTTTTTAATGTTTGATCGTGTTTTTAATATTCTGTTGGGAACCGCCCAGAGTGGCTGGGGAAACCCAGCCAGATGGGGGGGTATAAATAATAAATTATTATTATTATTATTATAAATTATTACTGGGAGGAGGTTGGCATTTTCTGTTTTCATCCGAAGATTTGGGGCGGATTAAAGTACTTATCCATGCACCACATGGTCAAACTATGGAAATCAGTCTGCCAGGAGGTGGTGAAGGCTACCCACTTAGATGACTTGGACATATTCATGGACTTGGGCAAATTCATGGAGGAGAGGGCTATCAATGGCTCCTAGAGATGACAGCTCTGCTCTGCTTGCACAGCTGGAGGCAGCGATGCTTCAAGTACCAGTTGCTGGAAGCCACAGGAGCATAGCTGTCAACGTTTCCCTTATTCCGAATAGGATTCCTCGCAAGAAAAGGGAAAAGTTGACAGCTATGCGCAGGAGGGGAGCGTTGCTCTTGTGCTCAGATCCTCCTTCCTGGTCTCCCAGGGGCATCTAGTTGGCTGCTCTGAGAATAGGATACTGAACTAGATGGGCCATTAGCCTGATATAGCAAGGTATTCTTTTTTATTAAAAAAAATTAATTAATTCACATTACAGTGGTACCTCTGGATGTGAACGGGATCCGTTCTGGAGCCCCGTTCGCATCCTGAGTAGAACGCAACCCGCGTCTGCACATACATGGGTCGCAATTCGCCGCTTCTGCGCATGCGCGTGACATCATTTTGAGCGTCTGCGCATGCCCGAGCGACAAACCCGGAAGTAACCCGTTCCATTACTTCCTGGTCGCGGAGCGCAACCTGAAAACGCTCAACCTGAAGCATATTTAACCCGAGGTATGACTGTACATGTTAATTGTCAGACACATTCAACATTGTACATAACATATACGGTAATATATTTCTACAAATTCCCCACACCTAACCCTATAACCACCTCCCCTTTTACCCAAATACCCATGTGACTTCCTTCACCCACATGCGTGATATCCAACTTGTTACTTTAAAAAAAGAACAACTCTAATATTGTGTTCAGTTTTGTTCATTAGAATGATCATTCATCTATTAAAAACATAGCTTCTTAACTTAATGGGTTCAATCTATACTTACCCAGAGATTTCTAATAGAATGATTTTGTACAATATATTCTTCAACACATTTCCATTCCTTTCTTAATTTTTCTTTTGATTGCATTCTGATCGACGCTGTCATCTTTTTGCTTTTTTTGTATTCTAGATACCCTGCTGACGATTTTCTCCTCTATATTTTACACTGTTGCATAAACAAACTCGGAGGGAAGGGAAAGAAACTCCACTCTATTGTTTGAAATTGCATATGATTTGCAATGTGTGTGCTTGCAAAAGGAAGGGAAGGGCAATCAGTTATACATTTATTTACTTATTTGTGCATCTGCCTCCCTGCCTCCTTGTTATTTTCAGATACCCACGGGATGGATCTTTTTGCCGTGGCAGTCCACGAGTTTGGCCACGCCATTGGCTTGACCCACATCTCTGCCATAGAGTCGATCATGAGGCCATACTACCAGGGCCCCGTCGGAGATCCCCTGAAGTATGACCTGCCTTACGATGACAAAGTCCGGATATGGCAACTCTATGGTGAGCCCGGGTCTGTTTGTGCACATGTCAAGTTGGTTGGGTGAAGAATTGGTGTTGAGAAACCAGGAGGCATGGCTCCGTTTCCCTGCACAACAGAGATGTCAGGCGCTTGGAACTATAGGCTGGCAAGTATCATAGAATTGAAGAGTTGGAAGGGACCACGAGGGCTATCTCGTCCAACCCCCTGCAATGCAGGAATCTTGTGTCCTATGTGGGGCTTGAACTCACAACCCAGAGATTAAGAGTCTCGTGCTCTACTGACTGAGCTATCCTCGCTGTAGGTGGAGTAGAGGGAATAGCCTTCAATTATGAATGGCCCAGACTGGAGGAGCATAGCAGATCTAGAAGGTTTATATAGCAGCCGGTGGCATGCCATTGGCTCATTGGCATCACCTGACATAGCCAAGAGGATTCCGCACTGATCTGATATTTATACACCACCCTGTTATTTTCAGGTACCCATATGATAGACCTCTTTGCTGTTGTGGTCCATGAGTTTGCCCACACTATTGGCTCAACCCAACCCTAAACTGCTTGCAATTCCCTGCTCCAGTCACTAGGAGGTGGTACAGAGAGCAGGCTGAATGCAATCAACACCTCACCAATAGGGCTTGCAGCCTGGGCCTCTATGGCATTTGATAGGATCACAAATTTCCTCCAGCCTCTGGGTTATTTTTCTGTTTTGAGTTTTTGCATTTCGTTCTTTTTGCATTTGAAGGGTACCTGCCCCCAGAAAAAATCAGCTGGAGAGCTAGACTCTCCTCAGAACAGGGTTTCATGCTTTTATGGTGAGGCAGGAGACCTGCCAGCCCATGAAAAACTTGTCTGGGCAGTCTATCTGCTTGCCTGACTTTTCTCTACTTCTGCACCAAGATGGATAAGCCACCCCTTGCTGGTCTAATTCATCCTTGTCTTTGCATGCAGGGGTCAGGGAGTCTGTGTCCCCAACAGCCAAACCTGAAATATCGAAAACAGAGGACCACCCCATCTTGCCAGACTTACCGGAGAATCGCTCCACTGTTCCGTAAGTTGAGTTCAGGAGTCAACAACCCATCCTCATCTTCTTCGGTGGAAAAGAAGCAAGCGTAGGGCACAGAACTGGAATTCTCAAATCAAACTTTGAGTTTGAAGTACAGGAGCGGGAGTTCCAAAATCCACATTTGCAAACACTGAAATTCTGAATTTCGAACCGAATTTGAATCCCCTCCCGGGGATTGAACCTGAGACCATCTGCACATAGAGCAGATGTGCTACCACTAAGCTACAGCTCTTCCCGGCTATTCAAGTAGGCTCCCTGCTTGATGAAGAACCCAGCTCTCATCCTCCCCCTTGAACGATAGAAATCATGTGGGTGGGAGGCAAGAGAAGGAGTGAGCAGGTTCACTCAGGAGGCATATGAGCATGGTATGGGAGCCCATTTTGCCTAGAAAGTGAGGTATAAATAAAATAATTACATCTGAACCCACCTCTCTCCAGCTGATGTGGTATCTGAGTGCCTTCTAGACAAGCCTTCCCCAACTTGGTGCCCTCCAAATGTTTCAGATGACAATTCCCCCCAGCCCCAGTCAGCATGACCAGTGGCTAGAGGTGATGAGAGTTGAAGTCCAAAACATCTGGAGGGCATCAGGTTGGAGAAGACCGCCTGGACCATTGATAGGCATCCTTTGTACTGATAGTCTCTGTAGGCTCATGAGCTACTTTTATTCTCCATGCAGTGGTCTGAAAAGGATATGGGTACCTATTGCTGAACTTAGGAACATTGAAAGCTGGCTTAATATGAGTCACACCTTTGGTCTATCTAGCTCAATATTGCCCACACTGACTGGCAGTGGCTCCCCAGGGTTTCAGAAAGAGGGCTCCCCCAGCATGAGTTGGAGATGCCAGGGGATTGAACTTGGGACCTTGTGCACCCAAAGCAGATGCTCTCCCAATGACCTATGGTCCTTCCCCACCCATGCTACTATTTTGCTACTCTTGTTCTAGACTGGACCGCCATCTCCTGGCTCTTCTTTCCTGTGGAAACCAGAGTCCACCCTTTCAATAACTCCAGCAGGGTGGAGAGAAGTTCAGCTCCCTCTCCATGCCCTCAAGTCACCTTGTATCACAGCAGCTTACTCAGCACGACAGGGAAAACTCGTCCGCCATCACTCTCGGGAGAACTTGCCACACATGAAATTTTAATCAGTGCCCTTCCTCACCTGAAATTTGCACAATCTCTCCGCTTGCATGGTTTCACTCGGTGGCTGAAAGGCTGGCACAATTTTGAGGGTCTCAAATAAATCTAGGGGGAGGTATTGGTGTTTCTTTGCAGGGAGGAGGGTTCAATAAAGGTACAGTGGTACCTCGGGTTACATACACTTCAGCTTACAGACTCCGCTAACCCAGAAATAGTACCTCGGGTTAAGAACTTTGCTTCAGGGTGAGAACAGAAATTGTGTTCCGGCAGCGCGGCGGCAGCAGGAGGCACCATTAGCTAAAGTGGTGCTTCAGGTTAAGAACAGTTTCAGGTTAAGAACAGACCTCCAGAACGAATTAAGTTCTTAACCCGAGGTACCACTGTACTTGGAAACTTGGGAGGAAGTGATTGTGTCTTCCTGGGTTTCACAATACAGAGGATAGGGAAAGCTGAGTGTAGTCTGACACGCACTCTGGACTTTAAGAAGGCCAATTTCAAAAAGCTTAAGGAGATATTGAGTGACGTCCCATGGTCAGAAATACTCAAAGGCAAAAGAGTCCAAGATGGATGGGAGTTTCTAAACGGAGAAATATTGAAGGCCCAAATGCAGACAGTTCCAACAAGAAAAAAAGTGGATCTAAAGAAACCTGTGTGAATGAATAAGGAGCTTACAGATGAGCTAAGAAGGGCATGCATAAGAAGTGGAAGGGGAAATCACAAAGGAGGAGTTTACACAAGTAGCCAACGGTTGCAGGGGAAGGTCAGGCTGGCTAAAGCTCAGAATGAGCTCAGGCCTGCAAGAGAGGTTAAAAATATTTTTTAAGGGTTTATTCGGCTATGTCTGAAGCAAAGAAGAAGAATAAGTAAATGGTTGGTCTTCTGCGTGGAGAAGAGTGGTAATGGCGCCCCCCTGAGGGGTGTCAGAACTGAATTCCCGTGAGTTCTCCCTGGAAAAAAGCCCTGCACAAGCTGGAAGGTGTGCAGAAGAGGGCAACTGAGATGATCAAGGGCCTGGAAACCAAGCCTTATGAGGAGCTGGGTAGCCATCTTCAAATATCTCAAGGGCTTGGAAGAGAGGACAAGCTTGTTTTCTCCTGCTCTGGAGGGTAGGACTCGAAGCAGTGGCTTCAAGCTACAAGAAAGAAGATTCTGACTAAACGTATGGAAAATCAGCAAGAGCTGTTTGACAGTGGAATGGTCTCCCTCGGGATGTTGTGGGTTCTCTGTCCTTGGAGGTTTTTAAGCAGAGATTGGATGGCCATCTGTCATGGATGCTTTAGCTGAGATTCCTGCATTGCAGAGGGTTGGACTAGACATCTCTTGGGTCCATTCCAACTCTATGGATTCTATGATTCTTGTGTGTCATGTGGGATTCTCCAAAGATCATAAGAGATAGGGCAATGGAGGCTGGTCTATTGGTGTGAATTGGGCCCTGCCTCACCAGCCTTAGTTTGCGCCCAACCAGTCCCCTAGTACCTGCCTTTTACTTACACCCAGCCAGAGGCACCGAGTTGCACACAACATTGCAGGGGGCTGTCGCGCATGTGCTGGGCCCGGGGGTTAACCTGAGCAACATGGTCCAGGTCCAGTCCCGAATTCAAGGATTCCGTGAGGAGTCAGTCCGACAGGGCCCAGGCAGGACACAAGGCAGGAAACCAGGCTAGGTCGGGTGCAGTGTCTCAGACAGGTTCTAGCAAACAGCAATGTTGCTCCCGTAACCTGGGGTGGGGTCCGACAGCCTTTTATCTCTGTCGGAGTAACAGCCGTTCCTGATCCCCAGGTGACTCATCTTCCTGTTTCACCTGAAGGCGAGCACTCCTCCTGCGAGTACTCAGGTCTCTCCTTCTCTCAGACCTTAGTCTCTGCAGCTCGGGAGACATCGGTGGGTTACTAGACCCAGGGGTTGCCTCAACCTCCCCTGACCAAACCAGTAGTGGAGCAGTTGGAAGTGATGGCCCAGCTGAAGGCAATGTGGTAATCCCCGCATCTGGAGCCAGGGCAGGCAGAGGCCCCTGACTCGAGGAACTCAAGGAGGAGAACGCTGGCAAAAGTAGAATAAATCGGCTCCATCTGCCATTGGCTCTGGCTCCATCTACTGTTGAGGCTCCCTACTTTCTGCCTTACCCGTTTTCAGGGGGACCAGCTGCCATTGGAAAGGGAGCTTGGCAAGGACCCTCCCTGCAGAGGTAGTCCATCAGCACCACCTCCAAATTTTCAGCTGAAAGAAGAACTCCAAAGTATATTTGATCCAGATAAACTCAAACCTTTTTCAAATCCTGCTGATTTCAGAATTACATGTGTTGCTAAATCTCTTGCACTGGAACAGATGCGGATCCAAAGGGCATAAATTAGGTATATGATGTATAATGTCCAATGTGGGCCACTGGGCAGCTTCTGGTAGACTAATTACCAGACAAAGGATTTTTTATTTTATTTTATTTTATTCAAAAAAAAATCATTTTATAACACAACTAAACAACACAAACAGAAAAACAAACAATACAAATAAATTCTTGTCTTATCCTTCTTTTTTCTAAACATTGTTACATGAGCTTCCCCAAGTCCCCCCTATCTGATTTTCATTTTACCTCATCTTTAGCAGTTTATATATATCCTAATTTTAAACCATTTTTTAAATCATGCTTACTTTTACCATAAAAATCTTCACATTTTATCACTTACAAATAATAGTATTTTAAAATACGCTATCTTCTACTTCTAACCCTACAGCCAATATCCACTTCCAAAGCTATTCTAAGATTTAAATATTAACATATTTTTCAAATATTCTTTAAACTTCTTCCAATCTTCTTCCACCGTCTCTTCTCTCTGGTCTCAGAGTCTCCCAGTCAGTTTGGCAAGTTCCATATAGTTCATCATCTTCATCTGCCATTTTTATTTTATTTTTAAATCACAACAACCTGATTTTTTTTTTATGAAGATGCCAGGGATTGAATTTCCTAGAGCAGCCTTCTTCAACCTGGTGCCCTTGGCTTTCTTGCAGTAGCAAGGAGAATGCCCCTTATTCTCAGAGATAATCAAGAAACTAAAACACATTTTTGAGTGCAATAAAGAAGTGTTCCTCTGGGGGGAGCAGGGGGTGCAAAAGCAACAACTGTGCCCTAGCTATTGACAGCTTTGGGTAACCCTGCCTGATTGGACAGAACCTATGACATCACTAATGATAAGCAACGCCATTTTGTTTTGTGTTCCCTAGGCTCAGAAGAGACGTGCCCAACAGATGCAACACGCATTTTGACGCAGTGGCTCAGATTCGAGGAGAGGCTTTCTTTTTCAAAGGTGAGCATGTGGCTCTTTTCCTTTAAAAACAACAACAGCACACTGCTGGGGTTTGCTTCCAGGCCACACTAGCTGGGGAAAGATCATAGCTGGTTCAATGCTTGCCATCTCCAGGCAGGTCTGGGAGAGGCCCCTTGTCTCAAACCCTGGAGAGCCACTGCCAGTCAGTGTTAAGAAAAGGTAAGCTAAAGGACCCCTGGACAGTTAAGTCCAGTCAAAGGTGACTATAGGGTTGAGGCACTCATCTCGCTTTCAGGCCGAGGGAGCCAGCATTTATCCACAGACAGCTTTCTGGGCTGAAGTGAAGGACATGAGGCAGGAGTTGATAATGCAGGTGAGCTGCACACAGGTGAGCTGCAAGCAAGCTGCCGGCCAGCTCTGTGGAGGCTCCTTTTATTGACACAATATGCAAACCCAGGCAGATACATTTTGGGCTGTGACCTTTACACATCTTCCACTCCTGAGATTGTGGGGTGGTACAAAGCGATTTTGGCACCTGTTTCCACCACATCATTTCCCCTTGCACAGTGTATGACGAAGGAGACAAAGGTCTCAGAGACAAAGGTCACAGACAGGATACCGCAGACTTGAGACCGCAAAAGGTTAGACAGAGGGCAAGATGTTCAGACAGCTGTGGCTTTATCTGTGAGGGGGAGTGTGCCCCACACCCCAAGGTCACACGTGCAGACAGCTGAGGCTGCCTGCGGGTGGGGAGTGTGCTCCACACCCAGTGATCATTCCTACACTGGGCCATGTGGCCAGCATGACTAAACCGCTTCTGGTGCAACGGAACACCGTGTCAGAAGCCAGAGTGCATGAAAATGCCGTTTACCTTCCCACCGCAGTGGTACCTATTTATCTACTTGCACTGGCGTGCTTTCAAACTGCTAGGTTGGCAGGAGCTGGGACAGAGCAACGGGAGCTCACTCCATCATGGGGATTCGATCCGCTGACCTTCCGATCGGCAAGCCCAAGAGGCTCAGTGGTTTAGACCACAGCGCCACCTGCGTAGACAGCCCTGAGTAGAAGAATCAATGGTCTGACTCAGTATGCATGTAGGGGCAGGGCTGGTGTAATGATGGTGGCAACTTCTAGTGTGTGAGCCCTAAGCAAGGGTCACCCCTCTAGTCTCTGCCAGCTGTTGCCATAGATGAGCAAGGCAGAGGCAAGAGCTGCAGCAGCCACAGGAGCCCCACAGCAGTACCAGTGAGCCCTGCCAAGGCCCTGATGCTTGTTCTAGGATGCTGGCACCAGGCTAGATGAGGCCCCTTCCGCTCCTTCCCTAAGGCATCCGTCTCCCCAGCCTGAGACTCTGTTCAAGTTCCTGACACTCCAGCTATGTGTGCCTTAATGATGCAACCCATCTGGCATCACACTCTGCAACAGCTGCTCGCAAGACGTGTCCGGGAGTGAAAAAAGGAAGAGAAGCAGAGAAGCCTGGGTACAGCCTCGCCTTCGGTTGCTCTCCCGCGAGAGCTCTTGCGCAGTCAAAATTTGGAGAGTCTCCAATGGTTCCTTGGCTAAAATGCTTACTGATTGCAAAAGCATTCGTTCCAATCCACCTCTGCTTTCATTGTAGTCTTCTTTCTGATGACGACGATATATGATTATTAGGAGTAATGTTTTTGAATAAAATATTCTATTTTTTTAAAAAAACAAAACAGCCACTACAAAAATTCACCTGTTTATAATTCTACAAACACTATCCAAATGCTAAATGCAAATCACGGAAAGGCAATCAACCTCATTCAATGTAAGACAACCCATTTGTTCTTTGTAACTTATCATGGTTCTTAAAAGAGATTAACTGAGCCAAGTATTTTAGATCTTATATATACTGTATATTAATCTCTTCCTGCCCCAATAATCTACATGGATGCATTGCCTCCAGTGTACTATCATTCTAATAGGATACTAGCAAGCATCACTTTTCTACTGATTTGCTGACAGCCTGACATAACCCGTATTATATTTGTACATTTCACCGCCTGAACCGCCCCCAATAATAATAATAATAATAATAATAATAATAATAATATCATCATTAGCAACAACTGTATCATCATATTTAGTATTTATGGAGTGTTCAGAACATTTCACGTTCAGTATTACAGTAGTAGCCCTTTGTCATGGCACTGACAGGCACGAAATATCCAGAGTGAGGAATATAATCTTCATTGTCAAGTTAGGGAAAGGCATATCCATCAGTCCTATGTCTTCCAACTTCTCCTAGATGTGCAGCCAATGAGGCAGTTGCCGCAACTAAAAGGCCTCACCCCTGACCTTGGCTTGTAACCTGCTTGTAAACTGCCTCTGCTCCTCCCTCGTCACTCCTCTTCTGGTCCTGGGAGACAGTGGGGCAGGAGAGGTGGGGTCAGGAGGAGGAGGAGGAGGAAGTGTGGAAGGCCTTGGCCCATACCAGCCTGAGCTATCTCTCTCTCCTTCTGCACCTCTTCTTCATTCGCCAGTCCTGCACCTTCTCCTGTCTCTGACTCTCGTCTCCCAGCTGTAACAGGCTCCTACGGATCACCGATCCCTTCTTCCAAGTCGGTCTCCAACCCCCACTTCTCTGGGTGCCCCACTCCTCAGCATTCAGCCACCACTCTTCTCAGTGTCCAGCCAGTTCCTGACATCCTTAGAGCAGCCATGTGAAATGGACAGCAGCACTATTAGCCCCATTTTGCAGACGGAGATGGTGAGGCCGGGAGATTGCTGGCTCCTCCTGGAGGAGGAATAATAAATGCCACCCACATAAATCTCACTTTGCAAGTGATGAAAGGACAGGCCCATGTCCCGTGCATCTTGCACTCTAGAAATTGACCCAAGGGAGGCAACCAGAGAAAGGGCAAGGATACCCATCAAAAGAGTATAAATATTTCTTTAAAAAACTTTACAAAAAAGGGAGAGAATAGTCTTCTTCTGGAGGTTGGCAGCTTTTTAACTAGTCAGCCCACTGCAGAGCTCCTCCTGCCCTTTTCTATGTAGGAAAGAGCCTGAAACCTGGATTAGGTTATCCAGAAAAGAAACTGGGACCTTCTGCATGCAGATCATATTCTCTCCCGCTAAGCTACACTTCCCCTGTGTTCCTGACAGCATTTATGACAAATTAGCTTTGGAACACTTTGAACTTTGGGTGTTGAATACCTTTTCAGTGGGGGAGGCTAAGGAGGAACGATATGACCCGGCGATATTTCTCCCAGAAATATTGGGAAGCTGCCCTTTTTGTAGCAAAAGCTTCATTAGGGATGCAAAGAACATCTCGATATAATTGCATGCATTTCCCATAAACATGCAAAGGGCACCCAATTCGAAGGCTGAGGTTTTAATTTTCCCGTCCTTTTTAAAAAGAAAAAAACCCACCATCTTCAAAGAATTTGTAATTGCTGCTATCCAGACTGCATTCCAATGCATTATTCATGCATCGGCCCGTGTCATATAAAACAAATATGCAAAGTGCTGCATAATTACCAGCTGATGAAATAAATCCTTACAACTGTATTTTTAAAAAGAAAAAAATTGAACCGCCCTGCAGATGTTGAAGAGCTTGGAGAGGGGGTTGTGGTGTGGGCTACTCCCCCCCCCCTTTTGCCTTCTGCACTATTAGGCTAGGATCCAATTTTCTGAAAGACTACGTCACCACCTGTTGGAATTGCAGAAGTCAGGAAGGAGCCAAGCCACCTTGAATACAGACTTGCAAGGGCCGTCTTGAGTTAGCAAAGCATTTCCCCGCCTCCCATGGGATTTTTGCTGCATGTGCATCGAACAGGAGGTTACCCATGAGAATGCTAACAAAACCACAAAGGCTGTTCGGGCTCTGACCACAAGTTCCACAAGCTTCCTTCAACCAGCTGTTGTTCAGAGGGCTGCAACAATAAAATTTGTCAAAGGGAGAAAAAGAAGTGCCCCTGGGGAAAGAGTTGCATCTCTGGAATATACTCGGAGTTGAGTGTGGATTTCATGCTCTTTATTCAGCTCATAGTGGTGAGGAGGAATGAAAGTTTCCCCAAAATATCTGCTTTATATACATTATTTATACAATGGGCTGCATGTGATTGGCTAATTCTGGGATTCTCCTGTAGGCCAATCAGGTTGTGGATTCACTTCCACCTGGAGCTGGATTGGGTGGCTCCTGTGGACCAATCATACTGCTGCATTGTTCTAGGACCAATCAGACTGCTGCATTCTGAATCCTATTGTTCTAGGACCAATCAGACTGCTGCATTTTGGATCCTATTGTTCTAGGACCAATCAGACTGCTGCATTTTGGATCCTATTCAACTCAGTACATAACAATCTCCTACTAACCAATGCCTCTTCATCCAGGCAAATACTTCTGGAGACTGACTCGCAACAAACATCTGGTCTCCCTCCAGCCAGCTCAGATCCACCGTTTCTGGCGGGGGCTGCCTCTGAACCTGGACAGTGTGGATGCTGTTTATGAGAGAACCCACGACCACAAGATTGTGTTCTTCAAAGGTAAGAGAAAGCATTTGACACAGTTGTAGGTGACCCCCTCTTTGGCATTCCCAGATTCTTTGTCCCCCCACTGTGTTTAAGCCTCTTTGAGCCTCATCTCTAAGCTTTAGAGTACAGATTGCTCAGCTGGAAGAAAATTACTTGTCTCAAATGACAAGCTTTGGTTTGATTCCAGATGATCAAGCTGAACATCACTCTAGTAGTCTCCTGGGCTTTCCCAGCTGCATGTTGCTAATGTCTTGTGGTGAGCTGTGGCTCACCTGGGTAATTTTAGACTTTGGAATGCATGGTCTTGCAAGGAAGCCATCGGGGTGGAGAACCTGTGGCATTCCACACATTCACAGCATTCCAAATCCCATGGGCCTAGCCAATGGGAAGTGATGATGGGTGCTGGACTCCAACATCATCTCGAAGGCCACAGGTTCCCCACTCTAGCTTTAGATGGTAATGTTCATTACTTCATTTACTCCAAAATGCCCTCAAGTCCTGTCCTGAGAGCATCACTGTGGGGGCCAATAGTACTTGACATGGATTGATGACATCATTGGCTTGTGCTGGGTGTTGTCACCACATGCCTCCAGCCAACATTTCACCAACTCCTTCTGACTCTGGATGGGGAAAAAAAGTTTCACTTTCTTGTTTTTTCCCATCCTAAAACAATTTTGCCTAATCTACACATTTTCGCAAAACAATTTCCCCAATGCAATGAAGTTTTGTATGCTATTTTTATTCATATATGCATTTTTGTGCACACTTTACTCCAGTACAGTGGTACCTCTGGATGTGAACAGGATCCATTCCGGAGCCCCGTTCGCATCCTGAAGCGAATGCAACCCACGTCTATACGTGCGCAGGTCATGATTCACCGCTTCCGTGCGCGCGCATGACGTCATTTTGAGTGTCTGCGCATGCGTGAGTGGTGAAACCCGGAAGTAACACGTTCCGTTACTTCCGGGTTGCCACAGAGCGTAACCTGAAAACGCTCAACCTGAAGCATATTTAACCCGAGGTATGACTGTACATATAGTTTTTTGTACACCTCATTATTTATGACAGGAGTGAGCCAATCAGTACATCACGCTGTTCAGGTTGGCGTTAACTCTTTATTAGCAAGAATTCCATCTGCCCAGGCTTGGTGGAGTGCCAGTCCTAATGAGCACAGCAGCTCGTCTCCAGTACGTCTTGCCCATGGATAATAATAATAATAATAATAATAATAATAATAATAATAATAATTTATTATTTATTATTTATACCCCGCCCATCTGGCTGGGCCTCCCCAGCCACTCTGGGCGGCTTCCAAAAAAATATTAAAATACTATAATACATCAAACATTAAAAGCTTCCCTAAACAGGGCTGCCTTCAGATGTCTTCTAAAAGTCTGGTAGTTGTTGTTCTCTTTGACATCTGGTGGGAGGGCGTTCCACAGGGAGGGCGCCACTGCTGAGAAGGCCCTCTGCCTGGTTCCCTGTAACTTGGCTTCTCGCAGTGAGGGAACTGCCAGAAGCCCCTCGGTGCTGGACCTCAGTGTCCAGGCAGAACGATGGGGGTGGAGACGCTCCTTCAGATATACTGGACTGAGGCCGTTTAGGGCTTTAAAGATCAGCACCAACACTTTGAATTGTGCTCGGAAACGTACTGGGAGCCAATGTAGGTCTTTCAAGACCGGTGTTATATGGTCTCAGCGGCCGCTCCCAGTCACCAGTCTAGCTGCCGCATTCTGAATTAGTTGCAGTTTCCGGGTCACCTTCAAAGGTAGCCCCACGTAGAGCGCATTGCAGTAGTCCAAGCGGGAGATAACCAGAGCATGCACCACTCTGGCAAGACAGTCCGCAGACAGATAGGGTCTCAGCCTACGTACCAGATGGAGCTGGTAAACAGCTGCCCTGGACACAGATTTGACCTGTGCCTCCATGGACAGCTGTGAGTCCAAAATGACTCCCAGGCTGTGCTCCTGGTCCTTCAGGGGCACAGTTACCCCATTCAGGACCAGGGAATCCTCCACACCTGCCCGCCTCCTGTCCCCCAAAAACAGTACTTCTGTCTTGTCAGGATTCAACCTCAATCTGTTAACCGCCATCCATCCTCCAACCGCCTCCAGACACTCACACAGGACCTTCACCGCCTTCACTGGTTCTGATTTAAAAGAGAGGTAGATCAGTTTCCGAGACTAAAAATCCCCACCTTCCCAAAGCCATCTAACTCCCCTCCGCTCCAGGGCTTTTTCCCAGCAATCAGAGACTGTTCCTGCCTGAAGTCAACCTTTCCTCCACCTTTTTCATGCCTCTTCTAGTTCCGGGAGACCAGTGAGAAAGGGAGCTTATCACAGCAGGAGGAGGAATGTTGATGACCTGGTTAGTGGGGTAGATGACCTGGTTAGTGGGGTAGAAGTGGAAGGATCATTAGGCGCGAGTGATCATGCTCTTCTGAAGTTTACTATACAGCGGAAAGGAGCAGCCAAGCATACTAGGACTCAATTTCTCGACTTTAAGAAAGCCGACTTCATAAAGCTTAGGGAAGTGCTGGGTGAGATCCCATGGACAGTAATACTAAAAGGAAAGGGAGTTCAAGATGGCTGGGAGTTTGTTAAGAGGGAGATAGTAAAAGCACAACTTCAGGCAATACCAATGAGACGGAAACATGGAAGGTGCCTAAAGAAGCCAGGGTGGCTATCTAAAGAACTTTTAACTGAGTTAAGATTAAAAAAGGATGTGTACAAAAAATGGAAAAGGGGGGAAACCACCAAAGAGGAATTCAAACAAATAGCCAGCACGTGTAGACACAAAGTCAGAAAAGCTAAAGCACAAAATGAACTCAGGCTTGCTAGAGAGGTTAAAAGCAACAAAAAAGGCTTTTATGGGTATGTTCGTAGCAAAAGGAAGAACAAAGAAACCGTGGGGTCCCTCAGAGGAGAAGATGGTGAAATGCAAACAGGGGACACAGAAAGGGCTGAACTCCTCAATGCTTTCTTTGCCTCAGTCTTCTCCGATAAAGAAAACAATGCCCGACCTGAAGAATTTGGAGCAAATGATTCAGCAGAGGAAACACAACCCAGAATAACTAAGGAGATAGTACAAGAATACTTGGCTAGTCTAGATGTATTCAAGTCTCCAGGGCCAGATGAACTGCATCCAAGAGTATTAAAAGAACTGGCAGGTGTGATTTCAGAACCACTGGCAGTCATCTTTGAGAATTCCTGGAGAACAGGCGAAGTCCCGGCAGACTGGAGGAGGGCAAATGTTGTCCCTATTTTCAAAAAGGGGAAAAGAGAGGACCCAAATAATTACCGCCCAGTCAGTCTGACATCAATACCAGGGAAGATTCTGGAGCAGATCATTAAGCAAACAGTCTGTGAGCACCTAGAAAGGAATGCTGTGATCACCAATAGTCAGCATGGATTTCTGAAAAATAAGTCATGTCAGACAGACTCGTTTTTTGACAGAATTACAAGCCTGGTAGATGAAGGGAACGCAGTGGATGTAGCCTACCTTGATTTCAGCAAGGCATTTGACAAGGTGCCCCATGATATTCTTGTAAAGAAGCTGGTAAAATGCGGTCTTGACTATGCTACCACTCAGTGGATTTGTAACTGGCTGACTGACCGAACCCAAAAGGTGTTCATCAATGGTTCCTCTTCATCCTGGAGAAGAGTGACTAGTGGGGTGCCACAGGGTTCTGTCTTGGGCCCGGTCTTATTCAACATCTTTATCAACGACTTGGATGATGGACTCAAGGGCATCCTGATCAAATTTGCAGATGACACCAAACTGGGAGGGGTGACTAACACCCCAGAGGACAGGATCACACTTCAAAACGACCTTGACAGATTAGAGAACTGGGCCAAAACAAACAAGATGAATTTTAACAGGGAGAAATGTAAAGTATTGCACTTGGGCAAATAAAATGAGAGGCACAAATACAAGATGGGGGACACCTGGCTTGAGAGCAGTACATGTGAAAAGGATCTAGGAGTCTTGGTTGACCACAAACTTGACATGAGCCAACAATGTGACGCGGCAGCTAAAAAAGCCAATGCAATTCTGGGCCTCATCAATAGGAGTATAGCATCTAGATCAAGGGAAGTAATAGTGCCACTGTATTCTGCTCTGGTCAGACCTCACCTGGAGTACTGTGTCCAGTTCTGGGCACCACAGTTCAAGAAGGACACTGACAAACTCGAACGTGTCCAGAGGAGGGCAACCAAAATGGTCAAAGGCCTGGAAACGATGCCTTATGAGGAACGGCTAAGGGAGCTGGGCATGTTTAGCCTGGAGAAGAGGAGGTTACGGGGTGATATGATAGCCATGTACAAATATATAAAAGGATGTCACATAGAGGAGGGAGAAAGGCTGTTTTCTGCTGCTCCAGAGAAGCGGACACGGAGCAATGGATCCAAACTACAAGAAAGAAGATTCCACCTAAACATTAGGAAGAACTTCCTGACAGTAAGAGCTGTTCGACAGTGGAATTTGCTGCCAAGGAGTGTGGTGGAGTCTCCTTCTTTGGAGGTCTTTAAGCAGAGGCTTGACAACCATATGTCAGGAGTGCTCTGATGGTGTTTCCTGCTTGGCAGGGGGTTGGACTCGATGGCCCTTGTGGTCTCTTCCAACTCTATGATTCTATGATTCTATGATTCTATGATTCTAGGAAACACCCATTACTCTTCACTAGTCTGACTCCTCTCTGCCTTTTGGGCTCCCTCCTCCCCAGCTTCAGCTTCTGCCTCCGATTCTGGACTTCTTTCTGCCACAGACTCTCCCTGCTCACTAAAACCTGTTTCATCTTCTTCTGCTACCTCCTCCTCCCAGTCCTCTTCTGCCTCTGACCACTCATCATCGCCCCACCACCAATCCCAGGACTCTGAACCTTCTTCCCTTGGGGGTTTCCCAGCTGGTTCCTTACACCATTTCTCTGCATCCACCAGCCCATGACACTTGGCTGTTGTTGTTTAGTCGTTTAGTCGTGTCCGACTCTTCGTGACCCCATGGACCAGAGCTCGCCAGGCACTTCTGTCTTCCACTGCCTCCCGCAGTTTGGTCAAACTCATGTTGGTAGCTTCAAGAACACTGTCCAACCATCTTGTCCTCTGTCGTCCCCTTCTCCTTGTGCCCTCCATCTTTCCCAACATCAGGGTCTTTTCCAGGGAGTCTTCTCTTCTCATGAGGTGGCCAAAGTATTGGAGTCTCAGCTTTAGGATCTGTCCTTCTGGTGAGCACTCAGGGCTGATTTCCTTCAGAATGGATAGGTATGATCTTCTTGCAGTCCATGGGACTCTCAAGAGTCTCCTCCAGCACCATAATTCAAAAGCATCAATTCTTCAACGATCAGCCTTCTTTATGGTCCAGGTCTCACTTCCACTTGGCTAGAGAACTGCATTGCAAAATTCAGAAAAGTGCAAGTTTCAAAGGATTGCTGCATTTTGGTTCATTTAGGAATCACACAGGTTTAAGTGCAAACTGAACCAAACTTCTCCTCCACCCCTCCTTCTGACCCAGACAGCTTGTTCTGCCAGCATCTGAGAATGGCGGCTGGCAATTACACACAGGCTTGCCAATGTGTGCTCCACTGCTAAGTGAGCACACTCCCCGCGGTTCACTCACCTAGAAAGCCTCTGCGTAAAGTCACTGACACAATAAGAAATTGCATCTTTGTCTTCTTCCCCTTGAAATCAGATGGCATGGCAGGAGTTGACGGGGAGAGGGATTAGTCCTCTTTATTGGAAACACGACACAAACATGGAATTATACATGTGTCAAGGATATTGTTAGGAGAGCCTGGTGTTGGCTCGTCGACTGAGCAATGCTGCCCTCCACTGGCTAATCGGAAAAGACAGCCACAACCAGCAAGAACTGAAAGGCAAAACACACACAGCCTTGGGAAGTCTCCTCGGTCCCCAACCAACCAAAACAGTGGAAGGGGACAGAGATTGCTTTCTCCTCCTTTCCCCCACACCAGACAATACTGTAGTCCAGCAGTTCTCAATCTGTGGGTCCCCAGATGTTGTTGGACTACAACTCCCATCATCCCTGAGCTCTGGCCTTGCTAGCTGGGGGTGATGGGAGTTGTAGTTCAACAACATCTGGGGACCCACAGGTTGAGAAAGGCTGCTGTCATCTTAGCCTTAGTCTATGCAGGTAGGAAGGAGGTGTTCTTTGCTAGATTAACAACTCCAAAATCTCCCGCTAATAATCTAAGTAAGAGCCTCAGCATTTTAATTTACAGCAGGCCTACCTGACCTTAAGTACTCCAGACGTCCCCAAGTTGGCTAGGTAGACTCTGCTTACCTTACAGCAGGGCTAGAGAGTTGGACTCCAACTCCCATCAGCCTCAGTCAGCATGGCCCCTGGTCAGGGAGGATGGGAGTTGTAGTCCAACAACATTTGGAGGCCCATAGGTTTCCCATTTCCATCTCAATGCATTTATCTCACAGGGTGGCCATTAAGCGAGTTGGGAACATTCTTCCAGTTAATGGGCTTGTTGGGAACAAGCCTAGGCTTCCCTTGACTGCAAGGCCGAGATTGAAAAGCTTTGCTTCCATTTCTGAGTTGCCACAGTTTGCCATGTCATTTGAATCTGGACGATAAACTATGGTTAGTTAGTGAAAACAAGCCAAGCCATTGTTTATGAAGCTGGTATTAAGGATGTTTAAGATTAACCACAGTTTAGGACAACGTGCTAAGTTGCAGCTAATGGATAACCATAGCAGAAACTTCTGATCTTCTCCTTTGTAGCTGCAGGAAACAGAGATGGAAAGTGGGATCCTGTGAAGAGGCTAAACCATGGTCTTGCATTATGCCCAAATGCAGTTACTATCTCATAATGTATAAATTCTAAAATATTGCTGTGGAGGAAGACACACTGTAGAAACTAATTAGAGGACATACGCTTAGTTCCTCAAGCCTTCCCGAACTTAGCACCCCCTAGATGCTGTTGGACTTCCATCAGCCATAGCCAGAATGGCCATTTGGTCAGAGAAGATGGGCTTTGTAGTCCAGCAACATCTAGAAGGCACCAAGTTGGGAAAGGCTGAGTTCATTTTATTTAACCATTTTATATATCACTTGCTTGTACAAAAAACCTCCAAGTGCTTAAAAAAACTTATTTTTAATTAAAATTGTGATTGAAAGAGTTAGAAACAGGAAGTTAGGAATTCAAAATATAATTTAAATAAAAAATAACCAAAGACAGATTAAAACATATATGGATAGGCTTGCCTGAATAAAAATGTTTTTGGCAGGTGTTATAAAGTGTACACTGAAGGTGACTGCTTGATGCCAATTGGCAGGGAGTTCCAAAGAGTAGATGCCTCCTTACAAGTGTGAAATGGACATTGCGTGGCACTTGTAGCAGTCCAGTTCTGCAGATTGATGCAGCTGAGTGGACATATAAGAGTAAGGTGATGCTTCTAGTTTTACCATACCTACAGCCTGAGTCAGTTAAATTGAAAAGATCACTCACAGTTTTTGGAGCTCAAAGGCTTTATTCATGCAGGAACTATCTGCACAATGAGTGGCTGAGGAGAGAAACAGCATAGTTCTTCTCTGTAGAGAACAGCAAACGAAATAGTTCAGCTTCTAGGGTTGAAGTTAACTTAGAGAGACTTTCAAACAAGTGCTTGCTGGATTGCTAGACAATGAGTGCCCTCTTGTGGTTTAAACTCACATATGCATTAACTAGAAGCTCGTGAGAAGGGAACATGTTTGCCTTCATGCACCAGTAAGGATGTCTTCCCCCTGGCCAATAAAAAAAACACACAACATCAGTAGAAAAGCACAGACATATGCACACATCCTCATAAAAACAGACTCCTCAGCAAGTGGTGTGTGTGTGCGCGCGCATGTGCTTAACTTTTGGGCATTTGCTGCTCCTGGAGTGTTGTGAACTCAGACCTAAAGACTGCCACAGCCTCTCTCTTTTTTAGAAGCTAGCTCTGTGCTATGAAGCAGGAATGACATTGCTACCTACCTGTCTGTTTCTTCTCCCCAGGGGACAGATACTGGGTCTTCAAGGACAATAACGTGGAGGAAGGTTACCCCCGGCCCATCTCGGATTTTGGCTTGCCGCCGGGAGGCATCGACGCCGCATTTTCCTGGGCCCAGAATGACAAGACTTATTTCTTTAAGGACACTCTCTACTGGTGCTATGATGACCACGAGCGGAGGATGGATCCTGGCTATCCTTTGGAGACCATGTTGTGGAAGGGGGTCCCCAGTGGGCTGGATGATGCCACGCGGTGGTCCGACGGTAAGTGTTAAGCACTGGGTCAAATGGGAGGGGGGAGGGGCTATACATCAAGCTGGCGAGGTTTTGCCCCGTGCTCAGAATGCTCCAACATAAAGGCCAGAACGAGAGTGTGCGTGTGTGTGTGTGTGTGTGTGTGTGTGTGTGCCTCCCGACTTGTATTTAATAATTAAAATAATTAACACCGTGTAGCTAGCTGCACATGCTTTTTGCTGTGGTCACAGCAAACCTCTTGATGGCCTAATTGTTTTGATCCATGGATGCATGAAATGGCTGGCTGTCCATAGGATGCCAGGTTAAATGGTGGCAACCCTAGTATGAGGGAGAATAATTGTGCAATGGAACCTATGAAGTACAGTCACCTCATGTTGCGTCTGCTTCAGGTTGTGTTTTTCGGGTTGCGGACTGCCAAAACCTGGAAGTACCGGAACAGGTTACTTCCGGGTTTCGGCAGTCACACATGCACAGAAGTGCTAAATCACGCTTTGCGCACGCACAGAAGCGCCAAATCGCAACCCGCGCATTTGCAGACGCACAGATGCAGGTTGCAAAAGCTGCGGGTTACAAACACGCATTCCGCATGGATCACGTTCGCAACCCGAACGTCCACTGTATGTGTCTATCTGCCTTTAGTTTGCAAATTCAAACTCAAATTGAAAAATCTGCAATATTGCGGTCTGCCTATGTTGGGTTAAGGATTGGGTAAAGTTAGAGAATAGGGAGCTACTGGATTTGGAGGGTCACGACAATAACTTTGGCTGGCATGCCTATTTGTGGCGGGATAAATGGAGGATTCACAGGGGATTTGGAAACCATATTTTTAGAGGACCATTAATTGAAATCTGGGAAAAATATAAAAATTTGCTAGAACCAAAAACGCCACATTGGCTGTCACCTCTGGAAGTAATGTGTGTAAAGAATATAAATATGAGAAGTAACTGGGCAAGATATAATCAGCTAATAATTAAAGAAGACGGTAAATGGAAGGTTCGACCATACGAGCAGGTTAAAGAGTATGTTTATGACTGGTTACACCATCTCCAGGTGAACCAGATGTTTAGAAAAGATCTTAAAGAAAGAGGTTATGAAGAGAGGGAATCCAAGTTTCAGACGGAGATTATAAACAAAGAAGAGAAAATTGTATCGAAAATGTATAGGATACTGTTAGACTGGAGTCTAGGAGATGAGGAGGTCAAATGTGTGATGATTCGCTGGGCACAAGACGTAGGGCACAGTATACTATTTGAAGACTGGGAGAGACTTTGGAAAGAAGGATTAAATTTTACGGCATGTACAATGATAAAGGAGAACGTACTGAAGATGTTCTATAGATGGTATTTAACACCTATGAAACTATCAAAGATGTACAAGGTGGATAACAAGTGCTGGAAATGTAGGGTTAGGGTTAGGGTCTTTCCACCACATGTGGTGGGAGTGCGGAAAAGTGAAGCAGTTCTGGGAGAAAATTTATATAGAATTAAAGAAGATCTTAAAATACACATTCTCAAAGAAGGCAGAACTCTTCTTATTAGGCATGTTAGGCCATGAGATAAAAAAAGAAGATTGTAAATTAGTGTACTATGCAGTTACAGCAGCAAGAGTAATGCTGGCCCAGATGTGGAAAAGACAGGAAACACCAACGGTAGAGGAGTGGAGATTTAAACTACTAGATTATATGGAAATGGACAGACTTACAGGCAAAGTAAGATATACAAGAGCCCAAAAATTTACCAAGGACTGGGGTAAATATGTAGATTATCTGGAACTTATCAGTCAAAGGAAAATAACGCTAAAGGGCTGTAATCGAGTATGGGTTATTGTTTGAACTTAATGGGAGTACAAATAAGGTATAAGAACAGTATATATTAAGAAATATATATAAAAAAGCATAATGACAATATATACTAGGAAATGTGTAACTTAAAGTATCACTTCGAATGATTGTCGGGAAAGCTAAAGGAAGTCCTGAAAGCGATAATCCAACAATGAGTAAATGTGAAAATTAAGTTTCTGTATATATATTTCCTATTTTTATTTTTTCTTTCTCTATAGGTGTATGATTGTGTAGTCTTATTTTTATGTGTTTATGTGTGTGTATATATGTTTTTTGGCTACTTTTCTTTTTGAAGTAAGCAATAAAAATTAAATGGGAAAAAAAATGAAAAATCTGCAATATTTCAAATACAGTGATGCCTCGCAAGACGAAATTAATCCGTTCCGCGAGTCTCTTCGTCTTGCGGTTTTTTCGTCTTGCGAAGCATGGCTATTAGCAGCTTAGTGGCTTAGCGGCTATTAGCAGCTTAGCGGCTATTAACGGCTTAGCGGCTTAGCGGCTATTAACGGCTTAGCGGCTTTAAGAAAAAGGAAACAAACTCGCAAGAACCCGCAAGATGTTTCGTCTTGCGAAGCAAGCCCATAGGGAAATCCGTCTTGCGAAGCACCTCAAAAAACGGAAAACCCTTTCGTCTAGCGAGTTTTTCGTCTTGCGAGGCATTCGTCTTGCGGGGCACTACTGTATGCATGCAGGGCCTACAACAAAAGGTTGCCCCATGGAACACATCTATGCAGGGTACCGGCCATGCCCATTGCCAGGATACTGCATTCCGTTCCCCCTCTCAAGGGTCAACCAACATTCTGTCCTTCATGCTCAGCCCCTTAACTTTCTCCCCACCCAGAGGTCAGCTAGCATTCTGTGGCTACTGAGCATGTTCATAGGCATCTGGGCGGCCAATGTGAGAACAAGATGTTGGACTAGATGGGCCTTTGGCCTGATCCAGTAGGACTCTTCTTAATTTCCATATACTCTACCATTTAGCTTATTATTGTCTATAGCAGCCTTTCCCAACCTCGGGTCCCCAGTAGTTGTTGGACTACAACTCCTATCATCCCTGACCACTGGTCCTGATAGCTAGGGGTGATGAGAGTTGTTACCCAACATCTGAGGACCTAAGGCTGGTCCAAATTGACTAGTAGCATCTCTCTAAGGTTTCAGACAGATGTGCCACCCAGCCCTGCCCAGATGTGCCAGGGGCCTTCTGCACACAAGGCTACTGCCCTTTCACTGAAAAGACAGTAAGATTCCAGTCCGCATGTTTCTGAGAAAAGGGAATGAATGAATAGGGACAAGGGAAGAGGACTCTGCTTGAGTCTTCCTTGTGGACTTCTCATAGGCATCTGGTTGTCCTCTGCAAGAACAGGAGACAAGACCAGACTAGATGAATCAGGTCCAGCAAGTGGCATGGACTTGTTGGATGCAGAGAGGAGTGATGGGAGGAACCAGTTGGGGAACCATGAAGGGAAGAAAGCTCAGAGCCCGGGGAGCGGTGGTGGGACAATGATGAGTGGTCAGAGGGAGAAGACCAGGAAGAGGTGGTATTGGAAGCTAAAGGGGTAACAGGGCTCAGTGAGCTGGGGGAGTATGTGGCAGACAGCAGTCGAGAATCAGAGGCAGAAGCTGAAGCAGGCAAGTGGGAGGAGGGAGGTCAAGAGGCAGAAATGAATCAGGCTAATGAAGAGTCACAAGTGTCCCTCCTCTTGCTGCATCAAGGCCCCCTCTCCCTCTGACTCCCAAAACCAGGAGGGGGTGAAATGGGTGGAGCAAAGACAGACTGCACTCAGGCACAGTCTCTGACTGCTTGGAAGAAGCCCTGGAGGGGAGGAGACATAGATGACTGTAGGAAGGCAGACTTCTAATCTCAGCAACTGATTTCATGGCGTGGGACCTACAGGGTATGAGCTGCTGTGCTCAGTAGGCCTGAAACCCAGCCGAGTCTGGGAAAATCATGTTCTTCTAATAAAGAGTTAACTCCAGCTTTGAACTGTGTGATGTACTGACTGTCTTGCTCCGTGACAGATAGGCTCTTCTCAGGTTCCCCTTTTGCTTCCTTTTCCAGGGGCAACCTACTTCTTCAAGGGAAAAGAATACTGGAAAGTCATGGACAGTGACTTGGAAGCTGAGCCCGGTTACCCACAATCCATTGCCAGAGACTGGCTGGTGTGCAGCGACATGCAGGCGGATTCGCCTGAGCCGGCCGAGAGCAGCAGGACAGGGGGCCGGTCCAGACAGGGGCACCATGACGAGAGCCGCTCCGAGAGCGAAGTCTGCTCCTGCACGTCTTCCTCTCCCGGGTGGCCCTCATCCGGCTCAGCTCTCAGACTCTGCGTAGGCCTCGCCTTGGCCAGCCTTTGGACAGCGGCACAGCTTCAGAGATCGCTATGACAGAGGGTGTCAGGTGGACCAGAACATACCGCAGCAATTCAGGGATGCAAATAAAAGGGATGAAATAGATTTTTTTAGAAATAAAGCAAAACAAAGAACAAAATCACAGGATGCAACACGCCGTTAAAATGAGCGACACAGTTAACATTCCTAGGAACGTGAAGGAAAATGTTTCAGATTCTCCATGAGAAGTGAACAGCCTCTATTTTATTTTATTTCCCCTTTCTGGTTATTTTTGTAAAAAAATATATGAAAAAAAGAATAATGTTATTTTAAGTTAATGAGCTTTGACAGCAGCATCTGTGGGTTTCTCACTCCCCGATCATCCTTGTCTCCTCACTTCCTTGTCCCACCACACCGCCCCCTCCCCCCCCCCAAAAAAGAATAAAGACTCATCTTGCCATCGGAAATATTCCTTAGAGGTCTATATTGCTTTGGACATTTGAAAGACAGCAAGAAGGAAAGCGCTGTCGGTTATAGTGGGCAGGGGCAGGAGGCGAAAGGCTGGGTACGTTGGTGGCCGATTCTGTTTGCATGGTGACCGTGAAAAGGAAAGGAAAAAATGCACCATTCCAAAAATGTGGTTGTGGTTCCACGGGTGGAGGACTGAGACCAAAAATCTAGCCCTGGCACATCTGTTTCAGAAAGTGGTGATGTCCTCAAAGGCTCCTATCACAGAGGCAGCTGGCGGAGGGCAACAGCTCAGCGGTAGGATATATGCTTTGAGTGCAGAAGCCCACAGGTGCCATCCCTGGCATCTTCAGGTGCGACTGGGAACCCTGCAACCAGTGCATCCCCAACTCTGGCTTGTGAAGCTGTGCATGCGTTATCGTGGCCACAGTTCACACCTACCCTGTGCTTTCCTGAGACACTCTGTATTTTGATGTGTTTTGATTTGAAAACGTAAAGCTATCTAGATGAAGCCAGACCCCATCTCTGCCCACTCAGAAACACATGCAACCATGCTGATGTGAACCATCATGCAATCTGAAACACAGATTGACCTCCCTGCGTTTTCAGCCTGTAGACTCAATATTATTTCTGTTATTGATGACCTGTCCTTCCCTCTGAAGTCCCAGGGTGTTGCACAACTTTAAAACACAATATTAAAAGCAGTTTTAAACAACTTTTAAAAAGGTAAGGATAAAGGACCCCCTGACGGTTAAGTCCAGTCGCAGACGACTCTGGTTGCAGTGCTCATCTCGCTTTACAGGCCAAGGGAGCCGGCGTTTGTCCACAGACAGTTTTTCCAGGTCATGTGGCCAGCATGACTAAGCCGCTTCTGGCGAAACCAGAGCAGTGCACGGAAACGCTGTTTACCTTCCCGCCAGAGTGGTACCTATTTATCTACTTGCACTTTGAAGTGCTTTCGAACTGCTAGGTTGGCAGGAGCTGGGACCAAGCAATGGGAGCTCACCCCATTGCAGGGATTCGAACCGCCAACCTTCTGATCAGCAAGCCCAAGAGGTTCAGTGGTTTAGACCACAGCACCACCCGCGCCCTTTTAAACAACTTATGATCACAGAAATAAGCTGGATCCTTAAAAAGCCTGACACCTCAAGTTTCAAAAGCAGGGTAAAGGGGGTTCTGAAAAATTTCATTTCTTGCCAGACAGGGGCAGCAAAGACAACCCAATTCAGTAGAGAGAGTAAAATCTGTTCATTGAACATCCACTCTGATTTGTTCCCGCAAAGTTTGCTGTGGAGGTTAGACAACATAGGCAGTTTATTGAAGATTCGTTCTGATTTTTTTGCAGGGAGATTAGACACTGTTGTGCCCAATAATCGTCCCACACTTTCCACGGCTTTTCCAGTCACTTTCTGGATTGCAAAAAGGGCTGGTTTTGAAGGCAAAGCCGGTTTGCTGCAGAAGAAAACCAAACCAATTTCAACTGCACAACTGAAATTTGTCACTGCACCACTGAATTCCACTCTGGAAGCAATGTTCAAAACTCCCATTGTTCTAGGCGCATTTTGTGATGGGGAATTTCATTAGGGAAAACAGTTTCTGAGCTCCGGGCGCAGTACTGTGCCTAAGATTTCAGATTAAAACTGCAGAGTGGAAGGAAAGGGGGCATAGCTGTCAACTTACAGATTTGAAAATAAGGGACCAGCAGCCAAAATAAGGGACCTGCAGCCTCACCTGTTCCAAGCACGCCAGTCTTCCTGTCCTCCTGCAGTCTGGTCAAACTCATGCTGGTAGCTTCGAGAACACTGTCCAACCAACTTTGTAACCAGAGGTTCAACTAAATAGAATCTGAATCACATGCACCACAAGGCCTATGCAGCCTCAACTTAAGATGGCTCCCCGGCCTGGCTTTGCACTGCAAAGTTTGCAGCAGCACGTGCAACAAAATGGCGTCCAGCATTCAAAAAACCCCTCAGCTTGCATTAACTAGCCACACACAAGGCATGCAAGCTCCACCCCCCAGTCGTTCTTAGACTTCTTATTGGGTGAGCAACACAGCCAAGCAACACAGTTGGAGCCTCCCTCCTCCCTGGCCAGCAGGAAGGGAGGGAGAGGAGCTGCTTCCTTTGAAATTTAAGGGACATCCATCAATAAGGGACAGCAGCGGGACATGGCGCTGAATAAGGGACTGTCCCTTCAAATAAGGGACACTTGACAGCTATGAAAGGGGGGACCTTTTTCTGTCTGCCCACTTCCAGCTACTCTCTGAAGACTGGAGAAGAGACCTTCTTAAGAATATTAGGGGGGGGTGCGCAAGGGAAGGACTAGACCACGTGAACATAATATTTTAGCTGCAGCTCATTCATTTTCAGCACTGTATTCTTGCTATAAAAAAGCGTGCCTGGACATTCCGTTGTTGCACGCACAACCTTAAGGTTTAGCTCCCAGCTTTCATATCTCAATTTCTAACATGGTCTGGAAGTGTGTGCGGGAAGAGAGAGAATGAGACTGGTCCCTTAGCAACATAAGATGCCAGAATATACCTTGAAATTTCAGGATATGCCTTGAAATTTAGTTGGAACCCAGCCCAAACTCAGTTCAGACACTTTTCAGGTGGGTGCCATTGCTGTTCTAAGAGAACGAGGGAGGTGTTTGTGGTGAGCTCTGGCACCTCTTCTTCTAGAAAAATAGCGCTGACTGTACCCCGACTAGAGATACTATCCCTCTCTGTAAACTCTGTACGCTGTGCTCTCCGCAGGGCAGGAAGGAAACAGACAGGCAATGCCTCCCCCTGGGCTCGATGTCAGTACAAAGGGCACTTCAACAAAGAATACACAGGGTAGTGATAGACTAGCAAAATGCAAAGTCACACAAAAAATATATCACCAAGGGCAACTGCCCTACAATAAGGAGTACACACAAGCAAACAAATCACAGAAGTAGTCTTTTTCTTTACAGAATCATGTTCTGTGATCCAACTTGCTTCTTATATGTTTGATTTTGGCCTCTTTGCTCCCTTCTGCTCCTCCACGCAATGTATGGTCAGGCAAGTCTCCCATGCTGATAAGCATTTCAGGAACTTTGGCAAGACCAGGGGTCTGCAACCTGCGGCTCCGGAGCCGCATGTGGCTCTTTTACACCTTTGCCGCGGCTCCGGGGTGGATACTAGCAAGGGGAGGAGGCGCATTGTGCGCCCCGACACTCCCCACTGTGGCGGGCGCTGTACTGGCTGTGACGTCGCATGGGGGCGGTGCGTGCGTTAGTCATGCACCGTCCCGACGTCACCTTCCCGGTTTTGCAGCCCCCAGGTTTATTTTTCTTCGGAAACGGGTCCAAGTGGCTCTTTTTGTCTTAAAGGTTGCAAACCCCTGGGCAAGACTCATCGCAACAGCTAGCTGTAGCACTTTTTTTTTTTTAAAGACCTGACAGATTTTGTTAGCAGGTGGCAGAGTGTTAGTCACTGAACGCAGACTGCAGAGGGAAATGAAATCCTTATGATGCTTTACTGAGCAACCTGAACAATAACAGCATATAACTTGAAAGGAAAGGAACAGAGGGGTTTCCTCTTTCTTAGTTCAGGCCTTGTACATAGCAGGAAGACATTTGAGCTAAAACAAACAGGGACAACTCCCTCAGAACAACACAGCCAATCAGAGCATGGTCTACCTTAGTGAAGATCACGCCACTCTAACTGGTTGCTAAGCAACAGCTCTGTCCATCCCCTTCTTGGCTAGTTGACTTTTACGCTAACAGAATTGACACTTGGGAAGAACATTGAGACATCTGGCTTCCTGCTAAGTGCTGTCAATTTTGCAGCTCCAAATGGAATGGAGCAAAGTCTTTTACAAGTCTCATTCCAAAAGCCCCCCCACCAAGCAGAAAGAGGGGGTCAGTTCAGGACAAAGAAACAGACTGCTTCCATATTGTCACTGTTTTCAGGTAGCAAAATGATAAACTCAAGGTGCACAATTATTGTTGCTTGCACAACAAATCTTCTTTCTAAAAAGATTGGACTTTTTGCAACAGAAGTGACAGAGAGAGGTGTTGGTAAGTGTGGGATACCTTTTCATAGAACTGGAAGGTACCATGAGAGTCATCTAGTCCAACCCCTGCAATGCAGGGATCATAGCATCTGTGACAGATGGCCACCCAACCTCTCTTTAAAAAACCTCCAAAGAGGGAAAGTCCACCATCGTCCAAGAAAAGCCCATCCAGCTCTTGCTGTCAGAAAGTTCTTCCTGATGTTTAGTTGAAATCACCTTTCTTGTAATTTGAAGCAGGAGAAAAACAAACTTGCTCCATCTTCCATCTGACAACTCTTCAGATATTTGAAGATGGCTATCATATCTCCTCTTCTCCAGGCTAAAGGTAAAGGGACCCCTGACTGTTAGGTCCAGTTGCGGACGACTCTGGGGTTGTGGCACTCATCTCACTTTACTGGCTGAGGGAGCTGGCGTACAGCTTCCAGGTCATGTGGCCAGCATGACTAAGCCGCTTCTGGCGAACCAGAGCAGTGCATGGAAACGCCGTTTACCTTCCTGCTGGAGCTGTACCTATTTATCTACTTGCGCTGCATGCTTTCGAACTGCTAGGTGGGCAGGAGCAGGGACCGAGCAACGGGAGCTCACCCCGTCACAGGGATTCGAACCGCCGACCTTCTGATCGGCAAGCCCAGGCTCTGTGGTTTAACCCACAGCGCCACCCACTAAGCATATCCAAATCTTTCAACCGTTCCTCATAAGGCTCAAGTTTCCAGACCCTTGATCATCCTGGTTGCCCTCCTCTGCACACATCTGCCTGACACAACATCCTCTAACCTCCCCTCAAGTCAGAATGAAGGCTCAATGAACAGATTGCTTTGGAAGCAATCTCACTTCTGGTCACATCCACACCAGACAGTTAAAGCATTCTTTTTACCATGTTCACAGGCATGGCTTTCTCCCCAAAGTATCTTGGGAGATGTAG